GTCGTGTTTCCTGGGCCACTTTCCCCAGACCAAATCAAGACAAGAAGGAGCCTTAGACTTACTGAATGTGGGTTCATAGCCATTGTCATTACTTTAGGAAATTGGAAATTTCTCCTGGTTTTAGATCACAAGTAACTTTTTTTGGTTCTCTGTCCACTCTAGGAGCTCCATTCCTGTCTCGCTCTTTTAGACATTGCTCTAGTGACCTAAACTGATTTGCGATTCCTTGTGTTTGGAGGGAGTCTAGTTATATTTGTAGGTTCAGCCTCACCCTGTATTTCAGCAGGAAGTGGGCGGGTGCTTAAGTCTATAATAAGGCATTTTTCCTTGTGGTTGCTGCATGGTAGTGAGGATTGCTGTATGCAACAGTAAATTCATACTTCTTTAAACATTTTAGTAGACAGATTTAGATTACAGTAAGCCTGTGTGTTGTCTGTCATTTTGAAATAAAATTATTTGACTTTTCAATTGAAATTTTTGAACCCCTGTGGAATGCATATTCTTTAACATAAAGAAGTTTGTCTATTGAAAGAGGAAACTAGTCTTCAAAGTAAAGCTCTTCTCATATGCCCCCATCCAAAGTGCTATTAACTACAGAACAGTGGGAAATGCTGAAGTGAAAGCAGAAGTCCTAATTGCCACACATATAACATCCCCACATGTTTGCATCCCCTGCTACTGCTGATCAGCATTTTGGGGGAGGGGGAGTGTTTCAAAGAGGAACTGCCTTGAGAAGCGTTTCTGTTGTTATGGTTATTGCTATAGCTCAGATATACTTACTTTTGGATGCAACCTTAGAAATTTGCAGGTGCTATCAGTGATCTTGGCTATTAATGAAGTATTATATATTTATTTATAATAAACGGCTAGTAATATTACTGCCAGAATGAGCAGTCATCTGTCTTCTGTCCTGGTGGTGACAGGAATTCAGAGTGGGACACAAATGAATGTGTCCTGTCTCACATGTAGCCTTCCTTCGTTACCTTCTACCTCCCTCTCAGTCTTTCTCACCTCACTGCACTTCAGCCTCAGGCTGTTGGGATCAGAGTTGTAAGAATGTAGGGCAGATCTCAAAGTCTCCTTTTGATTTTACACTGACCACATACGATATATAAATATTTCGTGATAACTTCTAATTTACAGACTTGTAGAACCTTACTGTGGAAGAGACCTGAGAGAACACCTCATCCAGTTTCCACTTCAAAGCTCGAATCCCACCATGGTACTGACAGTCTAGACTGGTCCATATGCTGCCAGGCCATGGCTAGGGAGGGATGCCTAAAGTCTTCTATTTGTTCTCAGACTCATTCTCAAGTCCCTTAGGCTGAAAATAGCCAGGAGTAAAGATGGGGTTGCTGCTGAGTCTGGCTGCATGTCTGGAACTATTCCAAAGCCAATTTTTCCTTTGGACTTACTTGGGTAGCCAACTCCCAGATCAGTCTGGGAACCTCCCAGGGTGTAAATAACTTAACCTCAGGACTCTGTCTGGAACATCCTTTGGACCATTCTGTATCCTGTAGGTCCTAGTAACTAGATGGATCTAGATCTGGAGAAGGGTTTGATTCATAGCTATAATCCATCCCTCTCTACATTTCTTAGACCTGCCTCTAGCCTTGTGTTCAAAATGCAGTGGAGGTTGGATGTTGGATGTTGGTCAGTGAGGAGGTTATGGCAACTTAGGTAGAAGCAAATCTAGGAATTTTAGAACTTCTTAAAAATCATCTGACTTAGTCCCTTTATTTTGCTGATGAGGCACTTGAAGCCCAGAGTGAGAATTATATTATCTCTGGTTTAGAAGTCACCAGTTTAGTATCTCTTGCAGAAGTCACCCAGTCTGACCTCTCAACATCAGCACCTTACAATCTGGGAATATCTCCCCCAATGTTCTTGATAGCTGGTCATCCAGGGGATTGTACTGGGAATTTGTAACCTCTGAAGAAAACCTATTCTAATATAGAACAGCTCTAATTAAAAGGAACTAACTAAATTGAAATCTATTTCCCTGTAACTTTTATCTTCTCAATGGTTCTAATTCCTTTCCTGTGTAACATCTCCCAAGGTGTAAGACCTCAGACCCCCAAATTAGCAAATATCAGCATATAGTTTCCCTAATCAAAGTAAAATAGAACTGAAAAAGAACTTGATTGATACTATGAAGACAGGTCATTCACTCTTTTTTTTTTTTTTAAAGATTTTATTTATTTATTTGACAGAGAGAGAGAGATCACAAGTAGGCAGACAGGCAGAGAGACGGGGCGGGGGGTGGGGGGAAGCAGGCTCCCTGCTGAGCAGAGAGCCCAGTGCAGGGCTCAGTCCCAGGACCCTGAGATCATGACCTGAGCCGAAGGCAGAGGCCTAACCCACTGAGCCATCCAGGCGCCCCCAGGTCATTCACTCTTTCGTGGATCCAAAATTTCTTTTTCCAGCTGAGAACCACTGCTTTCTTAGATTTCTTCACTTTCTCTTCTGTTGCTGGCACTAGCATTTACCCTTTTTCATGCTACTTTTAATAAAGAAACATATGTTTTATCACTTTGTGAATATACCTGTGTTCCAGAGTATCAGGAGAAAGCAAATAGGACTTGAAAGGGCAGACTCACCCCTGCAAACTGGCTTCTCCATTCATATTTGCTAGCCGTAGTTGGCCTCTCCATTTCTATTGTCTTTTTCTTAGCCTGTGAAGAGTCCTAACTGGTCTGTTTACCTCCAGCCTTCTCCTGCCCAAATATAACATCTTTGCTTCGGTTAGAATGATTTGTCTAAATGCAAATTTGACCATGTCACTTCCTTGATTCAGTGGTTTCTAAACACCCTGTACTCTACAAGTTTTCCACTAAATGACTACTGATGATGAGGAGCCTTTCTCAACTGGATTTCCATGAGAGAATTAAACCCTAATGCCATTAGGCATCCATTGTATGTAATGTATTAACTTTTTCTCCAATGCATCTGGAATGGTGCTAGTTATGTATAGTCTTGAGGAGAATTGAGAAAATAGTCACTCTAATCATTTTCTTTGTTCTGTGGATCAGATGAGGAACTGAGTGTGAAAGAGTGGGGAGAGAATGTATGTTCTTCAGGAGATCCAGAAGCCTGGCTGGGAGCAACCTCGAGGAAAAACAAAACAAAACAAAAAAACACTAAATGTCCTAAAAGTTTAGGGTTTCATCTTTAAATTTGTGTGACTATTGCATTCTACCACATAGTATGTCCATAGTTAAAAGTGTTTAAAAAATATTTGTGAATGAACATACAGATTTTATAGGAAGGTTTCCCTAGGGCCCATGGAACTACATATATAACTACCTTTTTTCTCTTAGCCCTGTAGTGGGCATTTTATATGTGTTAAATTACTTAATGTCTCTAGGAAAATTGCCCAAGATTGTACAGCTAGTAAGGTGTCAGAGTCAGGGTACTAACCCAAGTATGTTTCAACTCCACAACTTGAAGCTGAATTGAGTCAAGAGCCTTAAAAGTTTTTTTCTAAGTTTATCTTCACCGGATTGTAGGCTTTTTTTTTTTTAATCCCCTTGGTCAAGTTACTGTTGTGTTTCAGATCAAGCATAATTCTGTACTTCTTATGCTGAATATAACTAACTTTGATTATCCAAAAGGAAAATGAACAGTGACTCAGGTAATTCCATATAACAGGCAGTTTTGTCTTTGGTGTTTCTGAAACATACTAAATGGCTTTATTTATTTATTTATTTATTTTTAAAGATTTTATTTATTTATTTGACAGACAGAGATCACAAGTAGGCAGAGAGGCAGGCAGAGAGAGAGAGAGGAGGAAGCAGGCTCCCTGCCGAGCAGAGAGCCCGATGCGGGACTCGATCCCAGGACCCTGAGATCATGACCTGAGCCGAAGGCAGAGGCTTAACCCACTGAGCCACCCAGGCGCCCCAGCTTTATTTATTTTTTTAAAGATTTTATTTCCTTATTTGAGAGAGAGAGAGAGAGAGAGAGCTAGCATGAGTGGGGTGAGGGGCAGAGGGAGAAGCAGACACTCTGCTGAGCAGGGAGCTGCGGGGCTAGATCTTGGGGACTTGGGAGGGAATCATGACCTGAGCTGGAGGCACACGCTAGCTAAGCGACTGAGCCACCCAGGTGCTGCTAAATGGCTTTGTTTTGTAGCAGATTTACTTTTCTAATGGCAGCTAGCTTTTTTCATAAGAGGAAACCATCTTGCTATTGAAAACTTGGTTCCCCACCCATATGACATAGAGTTGACTCCGTTTGTATCTGCTTACTCAAGGCCCTTGGGAAAGCATAAATGCTAAACTACCAAGGTATTAGAAGCACCCCCTGCCTGGCCCCCAGTTCTACATGTACCTGACCATCTGGAATCCAGTTTCCGTTAAGTGTCCAGTGAGAACGTCTGGAATGTCTTGTCAGTGGCCACGTTCAACACAGAATTTCAAGGGGGTCTGGCTTCTTTAGTTCTCTGAGAAGCTGGAACAAATACTGAAATGATTGCTAATAGAGGGAGCTACAGTGACTGTTTTCAATCATTCTCTGGCTGCACCATTGAATTTCTGGTTCCTCCAGAAAGCTTGAAATTTGGGAGTCTAAGAGCATCCAGAGGATGGTGTACAGATCCCTGTGAGGTTCAGTTTGTAGCCTCCTGCCTCCTTTCTTGTTAGAAACTCTTCACCAGTGAGTTACTAATTGATTGAGTCTTAGTACCTGATAACCCTCTACATCATGTAAAAGAGAGATTAGACTGGAAGGGAAAGTCCAGAGTTTGGATTAGAAAACCTGTTGAGTCAAAGGGGAACTTAGCAAAGGAACGGAATGAAAATTATTTCCTTAGACAGTAGACAAATATTCAGGAAACACCTCTGCACCCCAAAGATAGGCACAGCTGCCACACAGTGACTATTAAAGGGAGGTTCAAAGTTATGAGCAAACAGCTGATTCTCTTGGTTCTTGGGCTGTTGCTGTTGGTGACAGGAAATCTTGTTCCCCAAGCTGCTGGCTTCCTGTTTTATTTTTACTCTTAGTAGATCAGAATGTCCATAACAAGGAGCAGTCTGTTCCAAAGGGTTCTACTCCCCCTTTGAGCCTGAAGGGCCTTTCTTTTTTTTTCCTTTTGGTCAGACAATATGTTGGTTCACTTTTAAGATCTATGATATTTAGCTTGGTTTAAGCATTTTCTATTCACAATCAACTTTTTTTTGGTGATGAGCTGGTGTTTTAAGATTTGATGTAAGTAAACCTCTGCTTTGCTTGTTCTAAAATGTATATAGAGAAAGAGAGAGAGAGGGAGGGAGGAGTTTGCGGTTTGGGGGATGTGGGTATGTTACCTTTATGCTTTACCTTTTCATTTGAAGTGAATTGGCATTTTCCCTAACATGAAAACCATTAGGTTGTTGTACATTTCTTTAGTTTCACAAGATACAGAAATAGGACCTGCCAGCCCAGTGTGCCTTTGGCTGTAGTCAGTACCCGTTTTGTTGAGACTAAAACCTCCTCCTATCCTTGTAAAGCTAGGAATTTGGTAATCTAATTCTAAAACAATAGCTCAGCATGAACCTGAAGTGGTGGGGGATTTCCTAGGGAAAGGGGCTCAGCTGACAGGATAAGAAACGGTAACCGGAAGGTTTCCGGATCTGCTCCAGACACTTCCTGCTGTCTCAAGAGCCTTTTAGCCCAGGTGTGTTGAACTGGATGTGAGAGAGAGAGAGAGAGAGAGAGAAAGGGAGCTGTTGGGTAGAAGAGAAAGGACTGGGGAATCTTATAGAACAGTTTGCTCAGCATCATGTTTGACATATTGAACATGTAAAATTTTCCTTGATATTCTTTAATTCTGTCAATGTACAGATGAAACTTTAGTAGTGTTAATAGACACTGGCAGCTAGTGTGTAGTTGTACATTAACAGTCATCTATTGGGGAAGAACTGGAGAAGTTACGTCCTGATGTAGATCAGTGGAATCAGTATTGGCAGCTTAATTCCATTATGGAGATTATTGGATGACAGGAGCTCTTTTTTGATCCTTGTAATTGATCATCTGGAATCTGATCTGTGCTGATTATGGACACACTAAGGATGGGATCCATCCAGACCATTCAGAGCCTGCTGAATGGACTGTTTTCTGACCATGCCTCTTTGCCTCGGGAGACTCTTGTTGGTTGGAGCGCAGTTGTTATTTTAAGGTTTTTAGGTTTTTATGCTCCCGGTGTAACTCAGCCAGCAGTCACCAGTTCAGAATTTCTAAACGTATCCAGCATGCCTTCTAATAGCAAATCTTAAAGATTGAAGGGAATGGGGTGGGGGCTTAAAAAAGAAAAAAAAATGATGGGGGAGAAAAGATTTTTTAAAAGCTGTTTTAGATCAGAGCAAGACAAAAGGAAAAAAAAAAAAAGACTGACACAGCCCTAGTGTGCCTGGAATTTGTGGTTGAGTAATACTTTCCTGTTATTTCTTTTTTAGGTTGTTTTTCCATCATTCAGAGCATTGCCTGAAGCAGGTCCACCATGCCGTTAGTAACGAGGAACATCGAGCCAAGGCACCTGTGCCGTCAGACGTTGCCTAGCGTTAGAAGCGAGCTGGAATGCGTGACCAACATCACCCTGGCAAATGTCATCCGACAGCTGGGCAGCCTGAGTGAGTGCCGCAGAGAGCCTGTGCTTTGCCCTCAGGGGTCGTTGGTGCTCTTTATTTAGTTTCCTTCTCCTCCCGTGTTCCTGTTTCTCCCCCATCTGCCTTTCCTAGGTAATGCGAAGATGTATCCTCCCCCCCTTTCCTGAAAGAGAGGTTCCTTTTTGGTCCAGATTCTTCCCCTCAACCCTTTCTTCATCTACTGCCTCCCTCTAGGTTCCCTCCACCTCCCCCTCCACCTGCTTCAAAAGAAATCTGTGGGAAGGGTAGCAGGAAGGGCTGCAGCAGAAACTGCAGATGGAATGACAGAGCAGAATTCTCTGTGTGTAAAGTGGGAGGTTCACAGAACAGTATCTTGGTTGGGGAATGTGCCTGTAATTGCACGAGCTGTTCGATGTAGCTGACTTCATTGAAGCCTCAAATGTGCCAGTAGTCTTTATCTCTCCGACACCCCCCTCCCCCCAACTTTTCTTCCCAAAGAGGAGTAAAGCAAACACACTCAGATTCTAGCCAACTTGTCTACCCTGGTAGACATTTAATTGTGCAAGCCCCCAGGTCCAAGTTCAGGGTACAAATTACTTTTGCAGTCTCTGGGGTATTGGGAGTTTTGCAAGCTGCGTTTACACACAGTGACACAAAGTGTAGCTGGAGCCATTCTTCTCTAGGAGGAAGATGGGGTTTAGCCCAGTCTGTTTTGGAGCTGAGGGAAAGCCAGCTCAATGATTTTTTTTTTTTTTAATTGGCAAGAATGAATGAGATTGCCTTGGGTGGGGTGTATGCATGGGTTTGGATTTCACTCTGAATCAAGCTGATTTTGTTTGAAGGTGAGGTATGGGAAGGGCCGATGCTTGGATAGGGTCTGCATTTGTCTAGTGCCACTCCAGCTCCCATAAGAACGTCCATCAAATCGCCATTTTAGTGATCTTTCTTAGCAAAGGCATCTTGGTATGAATTATTTCAGACACTCACCCTTCCTATCACATCACTGCCCTTAGTGAAGACAGTGGGACATCAGGAAAGCCTGCCTTCCCCCAGATAGTATCAGGCCTTCCTTTAAAATAGGGCCCCGAGGAGACAGAGCTCTGTGACCATATGATGTATGGGGTCTGAGATTCCTAAGCCTTTACCTAGCTCACTTGATCCAGGGCTTAGGGAAACTTGGATGGGGTGTCAGGAAGAAATGAAACCCTGCCAGTGCCTGTCTTACACAAAGGAACACTGACAGCAGTGCAGCTGACGTGGAAGCACATGAAGGTGGCAGAGAGCCTCACTGCTTCTTAAAAGCATCATTTCTGCTTCTGTCACCCTGAGAAGGCCAAATGGGTGGAAGTCAATCACACACTGGTTCTTTCTCCATAGGACAAAGGACATCTAGCTAATGATGCTTCTTACTCTCACTCAGCAGGAGTTATGCTCTCTCTCAGGTGTTTTTCCAGGGTAGTGTTGATGGATGTCATTGCTCACTCTCCCACTTGTGATCAGACCACTCCTGTCTGGAGGAAGCCAGTCTGAGGGCCAGGGTTGGTTTGTGCCTATGGAAACAAGATTTCCTCACATTGTGGCGCTAACTGACCCTTTATTCATCCAGTAAATATGTATTGAACATATTTTATGTGCCAGATGCTGAGGGAATACAGCGATAATAAGAAATGGTCTCTGCCTTCCAGGAGCTCATAATCTACCAGAGGAGACAGAATGAATAATTCTTACGGGGAGAGAGTGAGAGGGGAACTCATATTTGTTGATTGCCTGCTTTACACCAAGTTTTAGTAGGATATTGACATAGATGTCAAGTAATTCCCCTGGGTGATCCTTTAAGGGTAGGTGGTGGTATTCCCATTTTTCAGGTGAAGAAATGAAGGCTCAGAAAAGTAAGGTGAGGGGCCCCTGGGTGGCTCAGTGGGTTAAGGCCTCTGCCTTCGGCTCGGGTCATAATCCCAGGGTCCTGGGATCGAGCCCTGCATCGGGCTCTCTGCTCAGCGGGGAGCCTGCTTCCCCCTTCCTCTCTGCCTGCCTCTCTGCCTACTTGTGATCTCTGTCTGTCAAACAAATAAATAAAATCTTTAAAAAAAAAAAAAAAAAGAAAAGAAAAGAAAAGTAAGGTGACTTGCCTGGAGAGACAGCAGCAATAAGAGGTAAAGTCAGACTTCCAAAGACTTTCTCAGCTCTGTCCTGTACTCTCTGTCTCTGCCAACACTGCCCTGGTTCAGACCTCTGTTGACTTTTACCTGAACGATTGCCTTATCCTCCCTTTGGCTTCCCTTTCTCTGATCAACCCTCCTAAATCTATAAACCTAAAAATCTTGTAAATATTAAGCCTATATCCCTGCCAGAGTGGTCTGCTTAAAACACAAATCTCACTTTTTACTTTTATAATTCTGAATTGTTTGAATTTTTGAAAATTAAGACTGTTAACGTTTGCAATTTAAAAAGTGTGTGGGTTTTTTTTTTAAGATTTTGTTTATTTATTTGAGAGACAGAGTAGAGAGAACACAAGCAGGGAGGAGGGGAGGAGCAGAGAGAGAGGGAGCAGCAGGCTTCCTATTGAACAAGGAACCTGACGTGGGGGTTCCATCCCAGGACCCTAAGATCATGACCTGAGCTGAAAGCAAATACCCAACCAAGCCACACAGGTGCCCTTAAAAAGTGTTTGGTTTTTTTTTCTTTTTTAAAGATTTTATTTATTTATTTGACAGAGATCACAAGTAGGCAGAGAGGCAGGCAGAGAGAAAGGGAGAAGCAGGCTCCCTGCCGAGCGGAGAGCCCAATGCGGGACTCGATCCCAGGACCCTGGGATCATGACCCGAGCCAAAGGCAGAGGCTTTAACCCACTGAGCCACCCAGGCGCCCTTTTTTTTAAAATTACTTATTTATTTACTTACTTTTTAGAGACCCTTTTTTTTTTTTTAAAGATTTTATTTATTTGACAGAGATCACAAGTAGGCAGAGAGGCAGGCAGAGAGAGAGGAGGAAGCAGGCTCCCCACGGAGCAGAGAGCCCGATGTGGGGCTCGATCCCAGGACCCTGGGAACATGACCTGAGCCGAAAGCAGAGGCTCCAACCCACTGAGCCACCCAGGTGCCCCTTTACTTACTTTTTAAAAGAGTTTGTTTATTTGTCAGAGAGAGACTGCACGCACACTGCCAGCAAGCCACAGCAGGGAGCTGCAGGCAGAGGGAGAAGCAGGCTCCCTGCTGAGAAGGAGCCCAATGTGGGACTCCATCCCAGGACCCTGGGATCACGGCCTGGGCTGAAGGCAGCGGCTTAAACAGCTGAGCCACCTAGGTGTCCCTAAAAAGTGTTTTTATTTTTTTAAGATTTTGATTATTTATTTGACAGAGATCACAAGTAGGAAGAGAGGCAAGCAGAGAGAGAGGGAGAAGCAGGCTCCCTGCTGAGCAGAGAGCCCGGCGAGGGACTTGATCCCAGGATCCTGAGATCATGACCTGAGCCAAAGGCAGAGGCTTAAGCCACTGAGCCACCCAAGCGCCCTTAAAAAGTGTTTTTAAGTAAGAGTACAGGGGCTCCTGGGTGGCTCAGTCATTAAGCATCTGCCTTCAGCTCAGGTCATGATCCCAGGGTCCTGGGATGGAGCCCCGTGTCAGGCTCCCTGGTCAGTGGAAAGCCTGCTTCTCCCTCTCCCAATCCCTCTGCTTGTATTCCTGCTCTCACTGTCTTTCTCTGTCAAATAAATAAATAAAATCTTAAAAAAAAAAAAAAAAGATTCCAGATCCTTTTAATAAACAGACAAATAAATAAATGTACAAATGTTAAAAATCTCCCCTGTTCCTCACTGTGGGCTTGTATAAGTTTCTTGGTCTTGCATTCGAGACTTTTCAAGACTTGCCTTCCTTTCTAATCATTTTTCTTTTTCTTTTTCTTTTTTTAAAAGATTTTATTTATTTGACAGAGAGAGAGCACAAGTAGGCAGAGAGTGGGGGTGGGGAGCAGGCTTCCCGTTGAGCAGAGAGCCCAACGTGGGGCTAGATCCCAGGACCCTGAGATCATGACCTGAGCTGAAGGCAGACGCTTAATGACTGAGCCACCCAGGCGCCCTCCAGTCATTTTTTTTGCAATCCATCTTCTCCCAGGGATTTTACAATCTTTTAAAAATATATATTTTTTTTTAATGAAAAAGGAGGAAAAGAGGGGAAAAGGAAGGAAGAAAAAATGAATTATCAACTACTTGTAGTACTTCTGAGATAGACCATAGTCTCTCGTGCGGTGCCCTTGCTATTGTTTCTCCTGCCTGGAGAAACCTCACCGTCCTTGTAGCTGATCTTCAAGGCCTAGCTCAAGGACCTCCTCCTCCAGGCTGGACTAAGTGCTTCTCTGAGCTCCTATTACGTGCTTGTAATTATTACCTACCACATTATATTGAAAATTAACTGTATCTCTTATACTAAATTAAAAGTTCTCTGATGGCAGAAATCATGTCTTGTTTGTTCTTAAACCCCAGTGTTTATCCTGCGTAGTATCTGGCACCCAGTAGAAGCTCAGTAAATGTTTGTTGAATGATTCATGCCTATATTCTTGCCACCATTCCATGCTGTTGGTGCATAGAGAATATAGGGAAGGAGGTAATACTCCTGTGGGGAGTCAGTGCATGGTGTGGGAGTATAGGGAGAGTTAGGGAATGCTTCACAGAGGAGACTAGATTTGAATCAGGCCTTGAATGATGACTGGAATTTCATCTTGCAGACAGTGGGGCAGGAATAGGCTCATATGTGCTTCACATTCATGACCTTGGCCTCATGGCCTCATGTACTACAGCCAGAAGTGCTTGGTCTGGTAGGCACAATCTGATTATGCAATGGATAAAGCACAAAACTAAAAATTCCACAGTCTTGGATTGCTCCGTGATTGCATATCCAGAGTTTTTATTTACCCTCAGTGCAGAGAGATTGGCATTTCACATATTAGGTTGCCGTATCTTAGGAAATATAGGCACAGCCAGCCAGCCTGCACTTTTGAGTCAGTATCCTGACCACCTGGTAGAATGGAATCCTCACTTGGGTAAATTAAGAAATCATGCTGTGATATTGGGTTTTCTGAGTGTAGAGGGACCATGCCACTGGGGGACTACTCCAAGACTCAGACCTCAAGCAAAAGCAGTGCCATATTTGTAAAAATCAGATTTAACTTGTTCATGTCTGCCTAAGATTCCATTTGAACAGTTCTGCTAAGGGGGGATGTTGAAGACTACTTGGAATCTCTTGCAAAAATATGGTTGGTAACTGTTGTGAATGTCCTGATGTGATAGTGGATCTGTTTTTGTAATCTGAATGAATGAAATTTAACTCTGAACAAGGTACTTTAGTTTTCTCCTTATATAAGTGTGTCACACTCCTATTTTCAGAGATTGGGGTAATATTTAGTACCCGAAGAATAGGAACTATCATATTACTGACTAGAATTATATCTTAAATTTCCTGTAAAACGGCATATTTAGATAACTCATAGTCTTGAAAGTCATCTGATGTGGTTGGGCAGTTTCATTGTAACAACCTAATATTTTTAGCCCATTTAATTCTGTGACAGTTTCGTAAGGTTGATACAGTTACCCTCATTTTACAGATGAGGAAATTGAGGCTGAGATATTGTGACTTGCTGAAGAGTATGTAGGTATAAATAGAAAGAACTGAGATTAACTCCAGATTTTTCTGATTGAAGTCTGCTTCGACTTCCATGTATAGACCCAAGGTGGGCCTGATGTGATGATGTGATGGGGGCGGGGGGAGGCAGGAGGGGACCTTCACACCACCTCCCTCCATCTTCAGATAGCATTCTCAGTGTTTACATGTTTATATGTTGGGGGTAAGATTTATCTTGAAAATAGCTTTCACATTCAGCCACTACTCACACTACCACTACTCCCTTCACCAAGGAGCAGGAAATCCTGGGTATTCTTGGTGCCTTAAGGATGGGTTGCTTTGGGGTTTTCTTTTCCTCCAGAATAGCTAGTCAGTTAACAGATTTTTTTTTTTTCTTAGTAACCCCTAAGCCCATTGTGGGCTCAGACTCACAACCCCAAGATCAAAAGTCACATGCTCTATCTACCAACTGAACCAGTCAGGTGCCCTGGTTAACAGATATTTTTGAGCCTGGTTTATTTTTCATAAGTAATGTTGTATGTTTATCTGCTTTAGCTTTCCAATCACAGTTTTCCATTACCTGAATGAACATGATGCAGTGTGGTTTTTATGGGAACTTAGCTGTATTATGGACAGGGATCAGATAACATCGTCAGCCTGCAGAACAGAAATGCAGCTTCATTAGCCAGCTTGTGTCTTTGAACCCAGGAGCTTCCCATGGTTGTTTAAATCACAAGATCGTTTAGTATGCAAAAACTTGTTCTTTCCTTGATTAGAAACTCCTTATTGACTAAATTTACCAGCAATTCAAAATATGCTGTTGATTGGTCTTATCCTTACTCTCCAGGTTACACTGGGAAGGTGAGCTGCAGTTCACCATGAAGGTGCAGTTTTGGCCTTTTGACTAATATTTTCCCCCTCAAGTGTGGACTAAGCACAAAGTTTAAAAGCTAAAAGTCAGAGCTTACTTAAAATAGTTCTCAGTAGTTTTTTTGGTTGGGCACCATCACCTATGCCTACCTTCACCTTGCAAGTAAGAAACTCCGTATATTTATTCATGTGTGCTGCTTTTCATTCCTAGCAAGAATGTGCTTTGTGGCTTGGAATGACAATATGGAGGTAGTGTCAAATTGCTGGTAGGTTTCTTTGGCTGCAAATTCTCATTGCATTCCAGGGTTGAAAGTACGGAACTCTTTTCTTTTTCTAAAAAATAAGATACTGTGGAAAGAGACCACTGGTATGTTGGTTTTCAGGCAGGGCTTGAAAATTTCAGCTTTTCACTTGTTCCCTCAGATGTAGATTTGAAGAACTATAACCTAAAGCAAAGACTTCCAAAGTTATAGGTTATAGAACATAAAATAACCTTTTCACCTCTTAGAAGAAGTTTTAACTCTCTGTTTTGAGTTGTTGATAAATTCAAGGCCCCTCAAAGATACAACTCATCATGGTTATTGAATGTACTTCGAAGGTTCCATTGAGGATGTAATTTTTTATTTTTCATGTAAATTGTAGACACCTACAAGGGCCTTGTAACTCCCATTCTGTTTTCAAGAACCATTTTACAAGGTGCTTTTACAGAGCAGCAAGGGGTGAAGGGCTATAGGCAAATGTGTAGACATATTGTCTACTCTTCCAGGATTAGTTTTTTGTATTGCACCTTTTGATATTATTCAGCCTGCATTGAGTTCGTGACCATTCAGAGTTTGCCAAGAAGACTATTAGAGGACAAATGCAGACTGCTCAGGCTATGGAGGGCGCATCTCCATCTCCAAGAGCAAGCATCTGCATGTAACCCAAACTGTCCTGGAGGTGGGTGGGTTTGTGTTGGGGAGGTGGGGAATAAGATCCTTAGGAGCAAGTTTTTCTAATCATTTATGTCATTCTTATGCTCTAGTGACTTGGTTTCTTTGCTCTGTCAGGTAAATATGCAGAGGACATTGTTGGAGAGCTCTTTACTCAGGCAAATACCTTTGCCTCTCGGGTAAGTTCCCTTGCTGAGAGGGTCGACCGCCTACAAGTTAAAGTCACTCAGCTGGATCCCAAGGAAGAAGAAGGTAAGGAAGCTGAGCTCAGCATTTGTAGGCTTTGCTGAGCAGTTTCTTAGGATTTTTTTCTCCGGATTTATAAAAAAGTGAGGGGAAAAAAATCACAGAGACCTATGGAGCTCTGCTTTGAAATGACACAAGCCCGGGTGGTGTAAAGAAACCTTTTTAGCTCTACCACACCCCCACATGCTCCCTTTCTCCCATTCCCCCAGTTCTTGCTCAGATCCCCCCTCCCCCAATCATATTTTGTTACCATAAAAGTACTTGGAAGATTCATTCCTCCTAAGGAGAGGCCTGCTAGATCTGGCCACATAGTAAACCTTTGTGTTGCCTCATTTTGTTCAGTCGTGAAATGGCTGGGCTGCTGACAGCCTTGTGGGGCTTCCCCAGAGGGGGAGAAAAAAAAACCTGGCTGCAGACAGCCGCAGCCAAGAAACGCAGCAGCTGAGGCCTCTCAGACTGGTGTGACTCAGTGTTTGCTCAAATAGCCTGTCGTCCATTTTCTCCTGCCTTCCATCTTCTCTCAGTGTCACTGCAAGGAATCAACACCCGGAAGGCCTTCAGAAGCTCTACTATTCAAGACCAGAAGCTTTTTGACAGAAACTCTCTCCCAGTACCTGTCTTGGAAACATACAACACCTGTGATACTCCTCCACCTCTAAACAATCTGACCCCTTACAGGTAACTTAGCTAGTTCTTCCCTTTGTTGACCTGTGGTTAACAACACTAGATTGGCCTTTTAGTTAAAGATGTTTGCATCAGAGGATTGTGTCCAGAAGCTTACTACCTACCCCAGAGTTGTTTGTGGCGGCAGCAGCTATGTTTACCACATGAACACTTGTCACTTAGTATTGTTTGGTCTCTGAAATTCATAGTAAATATAATATATATTGAAAGTTTGCTCTAGCATTGCATGCTGCAGAGTTTAATTTGGTATAAGCCAGGTCCATCCTGGATTCCATCCAAGGAATTTAGTTATTACAGAACCAAAAGGACTTTGTTACAAAGCAGTCCTAGAGCTTGCATCCCAGGGGCAGCATTGGAGCAAGGCTCCCACTTACTCTGAAACCACTAGATTACCAGATGTTCGGGTGTGTTAGTAGAGCTAGCTTTGTGGACTGGCTACTCCGGGCCCTCAGGGTCCTTCCAAAGCTTAAGGAATAATTGGCGTTCTTCCAAATGAGTGTCGCTCACTTTGTTTAGAACATCCTTTTGACATTCCCCTCTGCTAGGACCTGTACTGCTGCAGCTAAACTTGAGATAGACAGCTTAAAGCCCCTCCCCCTCCAGGGGTCTGTAGTACGATCATCCTGCAGAAAACCACTGAGCAGGGGCAGAAAGTGAATATTTATCTTGTTTGTATCCATAAATATCTTTGGAACAGGTAAAAAGTAATTACAGATAGCTGGAGGCAGATGTCTTCTGCGAGACATGGGTATACTGCAAAGTAGGATGTGTGTGTGTGCAGAACTCAAGGACACCCACCTGATCCAGGGAGCCTGGAAATAGGAGCGTGGTAGCTATTCACACAGATAAAAGTACACAGCATCTACCCCATAGCGTCTACCCTGTGTTATTATTATGTAAAATTATGTTTATACCTTGGCTTTCAAAAGGGCTAGCTAGCAGAGCAGGACAGAGTTTTGACTCTGTAGCCTCCATTATTTATCAAGTTGGATTTGGGCAGAGAGGTTTCAGGGCAATAAGGGAGTGTACACCTGATACTGAAGGGAGTGTGACATATGACATGGGGCTTGTGTGATAGAATAGGATAAACAAATGATACTAAGACGAAGTTTATTTTTCAGTTAATGATATTTTCCTTTTTATCATTCTCCTCTCAGTTATCTGGATTTGGCCTAACAGAAATGAGCAGTGGTGTAGTTAACTCAAAACAAGATTTAATATAAAAGTCATTAGTGTTTGATTCGGAAATGCTTTCTGTGTGTCATGACAGGCCAGGGAATAGAATTGCCTTTCTAATAAATGTCCACCCCTAGCGCATGCTTTCTGGAAAGTCATGCCAAAGTGTAGGATTCCAACCAGGACTATCAAGTCTGGTAGGTAACCCTTACATGGACACTCAGTAGCTCTCTTGGTTACTTCTGTCACAGCAACTAAAAGATGGTAATTAAATCTCATCATAAAACAGCTGGCCATCTGTTCTCACTGGGGCCCCCTTGTGGTTGGGGGTATGGTGGGGGTACTGAGCTATTCTAGAAGGGAGCAGGAAGGTGGATTGCTATGGTGACCTGTTTTTACAGAGCAATAACAGCTGCACACATAAACACTTTCATGTATATGTGTATCTATACATAATGTACACATGTGTGCCTGCACATACATGTACAGGCTTCAGGTGGGTGGGAAGCCGCTAATGGTTCCTGGAGAGTCCTGGGGAATTGGTGGAGGAAGGGGAACCAATGGCAGAAATCCCCTCTGATGTGCCAGGATATCAGGTTATCCTCAGGGAGATGTCTGTAGCCATGCAGATCATTAGAAATAATCAGGATCCCTGCTGCTCTAGCCTGTTCTTGCCCTGACCATGCAGATTCCTGTACCAGGAATTGAAAGTAAGGCTAAGTTTCTTAAAAAGCCAGATAAATAAAGAGGTGCCATTCTGGGGGCACTGGAATGCTGGTGTGTAAGAGGAAATATGCAGTCAATTTGAATGACTTCTTGATTCCTCAGTGTAAAAACTGCTAACTGGTAGGTATTTGGAATATTGGATTTGCTTGGGAGCTCATCTGTCTACTGACAGCTACTTGTCTTCATTTCTATCCCAGGGACGATGGGAAAGAGGCACTCAAATTCTACACAGACCCTTCATACTTCTTTGATCTTTGGAAGGAGAAGATGCTGCAGGACACCAAGGATATCATGAAAGAGAAGAGAAAGCATAGGGTGAGGGGAAAGGGGCCTCTGTTCTACACATCAGTAGGCACGATTGTGGAGGGGGGATAAAAAGGAAGCCAGTCTTATATGAAGTAATCATTCCGAGTGGCTGCTTGCTTGGATGCCAGGTGAAACTCTTTAAAAAATGTGTCCACTCCAAGCACAACCAAGATGAAAGTATAAATCACACCAAAAATGTGTTTGTTCCCCCTAGTGCTATTAACAATTGAGTATATTCAGGCTGAGTTTTAGAAATTGACTTTTCTATTCACCATTTATTTCTCTTGCAATTTGCACCTGACTCTGCTGGACACTCAAGCTAGGCTAGTCCCTTCCCCGCCAGTTTTGCAGCTCATTTCTCAGAGAGCAGCACAGGGCTCCACAGTGTTTGATTTGCAAACAGGAACGGTTTAACACCTTCACTACTGATTGGGTAGGGCTGGGTGAGTAGGCCTAATTTTGGGAGCCGCTCCTCTCCCCGTAAACCGCCATTGATGTGTGTAAGCATATGACCAACCAGTTGCAGCGTCACAATCCCATTAGCATGGCTGCCGGGAGGCCCAAGAGAGCACCAGGGGCGAGTGCAGCTGAACAGGCTGAGAAACTCCTCATTGGTTGTTTGACTTTGTTTTGTTAACTGTTTCCTTATATTTGTCCCAGAGATAGTGACTGACCTTTGTGGCAGAGCAAGTAACAAATAGCTTTTTACTAACTTGCTGACAGTTAGAGCTGCTCAGAAACATGAGTGAGTTACCCAGGAAGGTGGTGAGTTTCCCATCTGTAGAGGTGTGTGAGTGTTGAACTGAGTGAATGTGTTTGACCTTGGAAGGTGCTTTGGACTAGATGACCTCTAGGTCACTCCAAAACCAGTAATTCTATAAATTCTCTAGTTACTGTGTGTTGTCGAGGCACGTCATCTCTTGGGTGTGCATCCCTGAAGGTGGATGGAGTTTTAATGAAGGACTTTGGAATAATGTTTTACAAAGGCTTTTCTGTTTCTTTTCATTATAGAAAGAAAAGAAAGATAATCCAAATAGAGGAAATGTAAATCCACGTAAAATCAAGACACGGAAGGAAGAGTGGGAAAAGATGAAGATGGGACAGGAGTTTGTGGAATCCAAAGAAAAGCTGGGGCCTTCTGGGTAGGTAATGCTTTCATATTATTGGTAGCATTTCTGAAGGGCCTGGGGCCATGGGGATAACAGCCTGGCAGCTCTGGTGTGGCACCTTTCACACTCCCCTGAAGTCTGGCTGTGTGGCTGAGATCAATATCACTGTTAATCAGCTACCTTACCGTGCATCCATCTGGTGATAAAAATTTGCTGAATAAATCAAGAGACTCAGCAGTTTAAATGAGATAACTGTAGTAGTTCGGAAAAGAATGCCCACGGCTTCTAGTGCCCTTGCTCTGCCAGACGCTAGTATGTCTGTGGGCCCCAAAGGAAAGACTGGAAAGAAAAGAAAAGTGGTCTTGGGAGCCCTTTGCCTCCAGAGCATTGATTTGAAGGTCATGCCTAAGAGCTGGACATTTCACAGGACTGGAAATGGCCCGGTAGAGAATTTGTGCACATCACCGAAGCAACTTTTCAGTCAGCCTTTGTCAGTCTCAGGAGAGAGGCTGGCCAAGGGACTGAAAGCAGACCTCAGAGACAGTGTGGGAAAGGTCGCTCGGCCAGTATTGAGGCTATATATCTACATCGGGAAACAGTAGATGTCAGTCTGACCCATTTCCCAATACCAAATCACACTGGAGGTTTAAAAGGGGAAAAAAATGGTTTTGAGCTTGGTTCGATGTTTATCCTGGTGTCCGACCTGTGTGACATTCAAAGCCAAGTCACCACGACTGCTTGGCATGAATGTTGCCCTGGTTTTTTCTCTAAATACATTGCATCCTGGCTGTCAGAGAACCATGCCAGCCCATGCCGGGTGTCTAGGAATGATAAAAGGAAAGAGTTGAGTTGTTCTTGCTTTTAGGAATAACTCTACCATGAAAATCTTGACTTTTAAAAATCTTGACACTTCTGACACTAGTTCTTCTTGGATTAAGAGATTTGTTTTAAAGAGTGATGAAGATGGTGAGAGAAAAAATAAACCTTTCTCTCTACAGGGAAATCAGACCCGAGGGTACCTTCATTACCTTCACCTCCCAGTAAAAGGGGCCATTTGTTCTGTGGTCCCATCCTGTTCAGACAGGCCTTGTCCTAGGTTCTGTGACTGTAAGGCCAGAAACTTGCACGTTCAGAATGCTAGCTATTATGCATTTGGTTTTTGTTGTGTTTGTGTGGAATGAGACTAGTGAAAATGAGGACTGTACCTCCCATTTTCCTGTTGTCCAAGAAGTTTGGGATTGGGCTACATGGCTGGTCTGCCTGGATGTGCTTGTTGGTGAACCTATAAAGAGATGTACCAAGCCTACAGGGCTCCAGGCCTTGGGGATTTTCTGCATCAGAGCATCATTTGACTCGTTAGTTCCCTCCAGCTCTCTTCTCTCCGGGGTCTGTTTGAGATGAGTTCTTTAGAACCCAGCAGTAGTGGAGAGAAGGGGGAGATGGAGCAGAACCAACCGTATTTTGCTGGCTGCTGTTTGTTGTATTCGTGTCATTTGGAGGTTTGTTGGTCACCCAAGGCCCAGTGCTCTGAGGGACAGGTTTGCGTGAGGCACAGGCCCTAGTACCCTCCTTAAGTTGGCAGCTCGTCCTATTGAATAAGAGACCTGGCAGGGAGACCGAGTCTTAGCTCCCACACAGCAACTTGCATTTGTCCTTAGCTTGGTTTTGCAATCAAATGCCTCCTTGGCCTTTGAGTACTCCAGAGGCTTCCTGACCTCCACACCAGGCTGTGTGCCAGTCACGTGTTTGCAGCTCACTAGCCTTGGGGCTCAGCTTTGCCCTTTGCCACAAGACAGACTTTGGGATTTTGCGGATAGGCTGCTCTTAACATTTGGGAGAGAATTTAAAAGAACTGCTGCGTTTGACAAGGCCAGCCAGCACTGGGAAAGGAGCAGCATGGTTTTGATTATCCGTGTTGAATCCCATTCCTCTGAATCCAGCAGGAATAGCCGGGAGAGACTTAACAATAGAATTCAGTACTAAATTTTAATCCTGAATTTAGTCCTAAAATAAAGTTTCAGAATAGCAGAAAATATGTGGGAATATTCTTATTTCTTTCTTCCTAAAAGCTTTTGTATCAAATGCATTTTTGTAGAGTCTCTTAAAAAAAAAAAAAAGAGAGAGAGAGTACCACTCACACTCTTTAAATGACAGTTTTGACATTGGGTTCATTGTCAGGTATCCACCCACCTTGGTGTACCAGAATGGCAGTATTGGCTCTGTTGAAAATGTGGACACAAACAGCTACCCACCACCACCGCTGTCAGATTCCACTTCTCCACCTTCTCCTTCCTTCTCTGAGGACAGCTTGCCTCCCCCACCAGCAGAATTCAGGTAAATGGTGCTCTCTCTCCTGTCTACTCTGGGTGGTTACATACTCTAGAACAAAATAAGTGTACCTCAGGCCACCTGGCTGGCTCAGTCAGTGCAGCATGCAACTCTTGATCTCAGGGTTGTGAGTTTGAGCCCCGTGTTGGGTGTAGAGATTACTTAAAAAAAAAATAAAGTCTTAAGGAAAAAAAACCAACAAAATAATTGTTCCAAATTCAGGGCAGGACCAGTAAAATAACTTGAAGCAGGTCTGTCTAGATAATAGAAATAATTAACATTTTATTAATTGTCTGTGAGGTGCCAGGCATTATGCCAAACACTGTATATATTGCTTCATCCTCACAACAGCCCTCCTGAGATAGGTACCCATTTTACAGATGAGTAAATGATGAGGCACAAAGAGGTCAATGAATTCACCTAAGGTCACACAGCCAGTCAGAGACAGGGCCTTGATTGGAAAGCAGGTCATTCTGTCTGCAGAGCCCATATTCTTATTTTTTTTTGAACTTTTTTTTTTTTTTTTTAAGATTTTATTTATTTGTCAGAGAGAGTGAGAGTGAGCAACAGAGTAGGCAGAGAGAGAAGCAAGCAGGCTCCCTGCCAAGCAAGAAGCCCAATGTAGGTCTCGATTCCAGGACCCTGGGATCATGACCTCATCCAAAGGCAGACGCTTAACCAACTCAGCCACCTACGTGTCTCGAGAGAACCTGTATTCTTTTTTTTTTTTGAAGATTTTATTTATTATTTGACAGTCAGGCAGGCAGAGGGGGAGGGGAGTAGCAGGCTCCCTGCCGAGCAGAGAGCCCGATGTGGGGCTCAATTCCATGACCCTGAAATCATGACCTGGGCCGAAGGCAGAGGCTTAACCCACTGAGCCACCCAGGTGCCCTGAGAGCCCATATTCTTAACAACTAGCTATACTGGAGCAGATAGAGATACCAGCTTACCTCTTGTTTTTTCTTAGCTTTAACTCAGCATGGAATAAAGTGGTATATCATCTGCTGTCCTTAAAATATTTAACAGACACCTTGCCCAGTTATCGAGGAACTTAGCAATCAGTCACCTTTCTACCCTGTTCTGGTTCATTTCACTGCCAGAAAGAATGAAACTAAGGAAAAAGGGAGGTGAAACTTTGACTTTGTCTGTACTGGTGTTTGGCAGAGATGTACAGGGGAAGAGTTAGAAAATGGCTGGAAAGGGATCTGTCTGAGGAGTGTTCAGATTTCAGTGTTTGCTTACAGTTACTTTTCCCTTTCTGATGCCTGACAAAGGAGAGCTTTGAAAGATGCACTGTTCTCCGTGGACACTGTTTAATCGGAGATTAGATATGTTGAAGACCCCTCAGCTGGACACCTAGAGCAGTGCTATAACCCCTCCCCTAACCCGGCCCCATTCTTGGTGGCTCTTGACAGCATTCATCCCAGAGTGCTTTTGGCTGGCGGCCCTGTCAGGTGCAGCTAAGGCTTGAAGGTCTGTGGAAGGTTCCAAAATGGATGCTTTTTTTCTGAGGAGTAGTTAATAGTGGAGGGTAGGTACAACGGTGGAAAAAGAAACCTTTCAACCTCACACGTGGCCTGAGACCTTACAGCTGCAGCCAAGCATATCTGACCCGGGAGGGATGCTCCTTAGTTGTCTCTCAACCCAGGCAAAGTCTGGTGGCACATTCATTTCCCATCTCTGCTGACCCTCAGATCTCCATCCCTTCTCAGGACTTTCCTCATGAACACTGGAGGTGCATTTACCTCAATCTGTGCCCTGTTCAGGTTTGGTCAGCTTAACTTGGTTTCCTGCCCTCACAAGATCTGGTGAATGGTAATAGCCTGAGGACTAGAGCCCAGTGGGTGGGTGATGTTTGGATTATTTTTTTTTTTTTTAAATTTTATTTATTTATTTGACAGACAGAGATCACAGGTAGGCAGAGAGGCAGGCAGAGAGAGAAAGGGAAGCAGGCTCCCTGCTGAGCAGAGAGCCCTATGCGGGGCTCGATCCCAGGACCCTGAGATCATGACCTGAGCCGAAGGCAGAGGTTTTAACCCACTGTGCCCGACATTTGGATTTTTATTCCAGTTTTTCTTGCACGCCTCTTGGTCCTGGTTCCACAATTAAACTGTCCTAGAGGAGGGTTCAGGAGGGTGTCTTCCCTTGGAAGGAAGCTGGAAGGTTTGAGGGGGACCTAGGTGATGACCTTGGCCAACCCTTACCTGATAGAGGAATCCCAGTTTAAACTTCTTTCAGATAGCTTTTCTCAATTTCTACTTACATCCCCCTGCTGATGAGAAGCTCATTGCGTTACAAGACTGTCATGGATTGTTGGTCCGCTCTGACCACTCTCAGGTGTTTTCTGTTTGAGCGAAAATGAAATAGCAGTCAACGAAAATGAACCTAGTTTCGCAGATAAGCTTTATTAGAGATGGGTGTTTGCATGCTGAGAGCGATGGTGGGTCTCTTCTTTGTCCTTTCAGCTGCCCAGCAGACAGCAACCAAAGAGGGCCTGGCTTAGCTGGACCCAAAAGATCCAGCGTGGTCAGCCCAAGCCACCCACCACCAGCTCCTCCTCTGGGCTCTCCACCTGGCTCCAAACCCGGGTTTGCTCCACCGCCTGCCCCTCCGCCTCCACCTCCAGTGATGGGCGTTCCACCCCCGCCACCGCCTGGAGGATTTGGGCCTCCAGGGACCCCACCACCACCTTCACCCTCATCTTTCCCACCTCACCCCGATTTTGCTGCCCCTCCGCCTCCTCCCCCACCGCCCACAGCTGACTACCCAACTCTGCCACCACCTCCCTTGCCCCAACCAGGAGGAGGTGCACCTCCCCCTCCCCCCCCTCCTCCTCCTCCGGGGCCCCCTCCTTTCCCTTCCAGTGGTGCAGAAGACCCGTCTGTTGCACCACCACCGATTTCTGATGCCACCAAGCCTAAGTCGTCCTTGCCACCTGTGAGTGATGCCCGCAGCGACTTACTTTCAGCCATACGTCAAGGTAATTCCCAGTGCTGGGTCCAGGACCTTGAGGCCTTGTCTTTCTGCAGCCAGGATGACTGGAGATTGGGCTAGGGTTTCCATGCCCTTGGGTGGGCACAGATTGGGAGGGACCTCAGGCCTCAGATCACCCTAAAGAAAGGCTTAACTCTAAAAATATGAAAAAATGTAGATTTCTTTCCACCTTAGTTTAAAGTAAAGGATTCTTGGGTTCAGAAGAGCTTGTGTCTCTTGATCTTGGGGTCATGAGTTAGAGCCCCACCTTGGGTGCAGAGGTTACTTTAAACAATAAGTAAGTAAGTAAAGTTAGGGATACTTAACTTGGGTCTTTGACCTCATTGACAAGAGATGTTTTGCCTGTGTTTGCATGCATTTTGTGCCGCAGAGAAAACCAAGCATCACTACCCTAGAAGTTACTTCTCTGGCCACAGTCAGTCATGCCCTGTCCTCCACTTTTGTGCCTTTCATATCCGTCCTCCCTTCTCTCTTCCCCTTTCTCACCCTGTCCTCCTCGGCCTTTTTCTCCTATCCCCTTCCTTCTTTGTCTCCTTCCCTTCCTGCCTTCCCACCTTCCTGCCCTCCCTCATCATCTCACTATTGTGGAGCATTTATTCTCTTTCTGTCAGAGGTTAGGTCTGGTCCCAGTGGGTTAGAGTGGTTTCTTCTGTTTGTGAGCCTTCTTAGAACTAAAGGATTGTCTGGGGGAGAGGAGTTGGGGCAGCTGAGCTCAGCGGTAATCAGCTGGGCAGACTGCGTGCCCAGTGGGTACAGTTCGGTGACCACTCCCCACCTAGACCCTCATGAGAAGTGCCATCCTCACCAGCCTGACAGTGTGGAAATGGAAAGAATGGCAGGCTTCCTTTTCGACACGCCTATAGCATTGGGGCCAGAATTGGATAAACCCTCATCTTTCTTTCTTTCCTTGCTTCCGCCTTTCCCTTTTTGCTTTCTCAGAGTATCTTTCTTCCCCCGACCTGTTCCCCTGACTCTGTCCCACCTCTGGTCACTCCCCCTTCCTCAGGCCTGTGTGGATTCTGAGACCTTTTGAGATTGACTCGCCTTCTAAACCTCTCTCTCTCTCTCTCACATCAGGCTTCCAGCTGCGCAGGGTTGAGGAGCAGCAGGAACAAGAGAAGCGTGATGTTGTGGGCAACGACGTAGCCACCATCTTGTCCCGTCGAATTGCCGTGGAGTATAGCGATTCGGAAGATGATTCCTCTGAGTTTGATGAGGACGACTGGTCGGATTAACTCTTTCTGCCTGCTACCCACCTCTTTTTTCTTTCCTCCTGCTGCTTTCTTTGATGCATATCCCAGCAGTCTAATGCAGGGGGAAAGGGAGGAAAAAGAATTTCAAGGGGCCAAAGTCTTCCCTGAAGCAACCAAAGATATATCCAAGTGCTTCCTCCAAATCAACGTATATTTTCCTATCTCCCCACGGACAGGTCCCCAGATTCAGTAGCTGAGATGTTCCCTCTTCTCTTCAAGTAACTGTTACATATTGAGAGAAGGAAATACTCCAAAGCAGATCCCTTCGATTGGGTTTAGATTGGAGTTGATAACTTCCCCTGAGAGCCATTTTCAACTGTGGTCTCCTTCTAAAATTCTTACCCTTCAAATAATACCAGCCATCTTCTGGTCCTAAAGCCTGCCCCTTTAGGGGCAGCCCCTATCCTTGCAGCCCCTTTCCCATGCACCAAGAGGGCTGAGCAGGCCACATGCCCTAGCAGCCAGACTGCCACCCCTTTCTGCCCTGGTCAGCAACATGACCTTCCCTTTGCTAAGCCGTGTCTATGTCTGGACGCCCTTTATTCTAGGAGCCATGAGGCCCTAAGGAGTGTCTCTCCCTTTGCCCAGAAATGGTGCCTCCTTGTTGCCTCCTTCCCAAGCCCTTTCTCCAGAGTGTGGTGTTCAGGTGTCCCTTAAATGGCCCTCCCTCGATACCAGGTGCTCTAGCTACCACGGCCCAGTTCAAACCTCTAAAACCCATGACCAAACTAGCCCCAATGCGCAGGGATCTGACCTCTGCTAACTGTCAGGAGCCAAGCCTAGAGACTCGGAACTGCAGAACTGGTGGAACTCCTTGGAATCCTACGCCCTTAATGACGCTGAAATCTAGAGATGGGAAATGACTTGCTCTGGGTCACACTTTGGATGGTGACAGAACTCTAGAGCCCAGAATTCCTGATTCCAAGTCACCTCTGCCTTCTGGGACCAAATAGTGAGCACTTGCTAGAATCTAGGCAGAACAGTCTTGGCTCTGTGCTACTCCAGACCTCACCGTAGGTGGGAGTCCAGTAGGAGGGCTCAGAGCTAGTGCCAGGCCTATCCGTGCTGCTCAGAGCCTGTAGCCTGTCTTAAAATTCTCTGCTCCCCCTTTACTATCACCATTGAACCACATGACCTTGGGAGCTGCCCTTCTGGGGGACCAGAGGTAGTGAGAGAAGGAAGGGGGTACACAGCTTTGACAGGTGCTGTTTTCAATTCCTCTGCAACTTGTCCCCCCTTTTATTTCCCCAGTTTAAGCATAGGTTCTGCCAGCTGTAGAAACTTCAGTCCCCCAGGCTCATGGCTGCCGCAGGTAGCTGCCTAGGGGGGCCTGGCAGCCGTGAGGAGGGCTGAAAGGCAGAGGGGCTCTGGCTGTAGTTTCCAGCTCCCACCTCAGTGCGTGCGGTGATGTTCCCTCCCTCACTCCCCCTCTTCCCAGAGCTAATACACAGGTGCTATTATTCAGAAAAAAACTGGTCAGCTTTGGTCAACAGTGAGGTTTCTTCTCTTCTGCCCTAACTATTGTGTAGCCTCTTATGCTGAAACCGGCTTCTCCTGGCTTCTCTGGCTTTCAGAGCCCTGAAACAAAGAGAAACAGGATCTGTCTCTACCCAGCACAGCAAATGGTTGTAGTAATTGCCAAAGCCCTCATAAAGCCCTCCGGCTTGAGGAGTGCGTGTAATCATGGCTACTACCGCTGTGCCCGGGCTGGCTGCTCCCCCCTGCCTCCTCTCCGTGAACTCCCAGCGCGGGGGCCGAGCCTGTAGGGGCCCTCGTGCCCTCCTGCTGGGGCTGCCGCCCAGTGGACCCTCCTCCCCCTCCTCACATCAGGTGTCTGGCACAGGGCTGGCCCCATGCTCCAGTGCTGAGCAGTCCAGGCTGTGTGTGCTCCCGCCTGGCACATTGGAAGCTGAAGGTGCTTTCTTCAGAACCCTAAAATGGCTGTTGAAGGTGTCCCTGGCTGCAGCCCAGCAGTGGCTGGAGAGGCAGGTGGAGGGCAGTGGTTCTCCCAAACAGGAGTCCTGGGGCCTGGCCAGGCCAGGGTTTGGGCCTAAGGGCTTTGACTAAATTACCCCCATCCCCCTCCATTCCGGAAAAGGGGGAGCCAGAGCCACTCGCTATCATTCTGCTCTGACCTTGAAGGGGGCGGTGTTGGCCTGGCTTCTGGAATGGACACAGTCCGCCCTGGAAAGGGCTGGGGGCAGAAGGCGGGGCGGGGGGGCACTGCCTGCGGAAGGTAGGATTAGATCATTAGCTCAGTGACCTCCTAGGGTTTCGATGTGCTGTGTTCTCATCCTACAGCTGGTTTGGTAATGATCTGCAAGTCCCGGAGAGCAACAGCACAGCTCTGCCTGACGCTCTCATTAAAATCTATGCAGCCAAGCTCAGCTTTGTAGCAGCCGGCCTTGCTCAGCCTCCTCAGCTCGGGGGGCTGGGGACCCAGTCAGCCGAGAGGCCCTCTGGGCTCTATTTATGCATATGTGTACCAAAAAACAAAACAAAAAAAACCCCCACTTCCTTAAACCCAGAGCCCTTTAAGATGATAAAGGACCCTATGCAGGTAATTGTGTGTCTTTAGAATCCTGTAATTGTAGAATGCAAAGTTTAGTGATACTTAAACGGGGCCGAAGCTGGGGAGTGTGTGCAACAGTGGCTCCTGAGGACTCTTAAGCGCTGAAGGCAAGGAGCCACCTCCCTTCCCCAGTCTGCCCAGCCCCGGGGACCTGCCCCCATTCCTGCGGCCCCGGGACCCAGCTTCCATCGGCAGTGTCAGAAGTGACTTGTGGCTTTGCCATGGTTGTGAGAGGACTACATTCCAAAGGAACGGCCACAGGGAGGGGGCAGGCTGTGCGATCCTTCGGAGGCTCAGAGCAGCTGGCCCAAGCTCCAGCTCGCCTCCAGCGGAAGCTCAAGCGCCCTCAGAAACGACCCTGGCCAATGTCACCGCAGAGCCAAGGCGGTGTTGTCAGGGCTAATGTGAAATCTCTTCCCGTGGCGCCGGTCCTCCGGCTCTGCAGCGCCAGCTTGGACAGATTGAGGTCTCTGTGGCTTTGGTGACCCTGCTTAAGCATTCCCACCGTGTACCAGCTTTGCTCTCAGCCTGCCTCCCTACGCAGTCCCCCTCACCTGACCTCCGGGCCTGGGGAGGGGGCTGGTGCCCCAGGGTGAGGGGCTTTTGCTCAGGAGAGATGTCAGGCCTCTTGGGGGCTTCAGGCTTTGAGCTCTCCTGGGTCCAGCAGACCTGGGACCAGGTGTCACTAGGAGATACGCCTCATTCTGTGCCTCAGTGAGGGCTAGGGAACAGTTCTGTTATTGTATTAACTTGACTCAGTTAACTCAGTTGAGAAACTAACCAATTTTTACTTCCTGTCTAGAATGATGTACATGTAGGAGCGTGAGCTGTTATGCTCCCAAAGTGCCTTGTTTTCTCTGATATGAATATATTTATAAGGACCTATTCCAGTGGATTCTGGGTGTGGTTGCCACGTCGATTTCAGGGAGTGGGCATCTGTGTAGTAGGGATACAGTCTGGAAGTGCGTCCCTCTCCCCTGAGGGTAGGATTAAACCAAACCCTTGAGGTGACCCCTTCTTCTTCACCCTACTCCTCTTAGGCCCCTAGGAGGATGTCCAGTTTTTTAAAGCCCTGTGGCTCCAAGCCTAGTCTCCTTTGTTTCCCTGCCAGGCCCATGTGTGGACCACATTAGCACCCGGTGACCTGAGGATTCCAAGTAACGATTTTATGTTATACATGCATATATGTAAATGCCAACATTTTAAATAATTTGATAAATCTTTGTAGCTACTCAGCCACCTCTGGCATGTGTGTGTCTGTCTCTAAGGGGAAAGTGTTTGGAAGGGGACAACATTAATAGCCACAGGTGGTGGCCAGAGCTCTGGAGGGAGGTCTGGTTGGGGGTGGGGGGAGGCTCAAGGAGCAGGAGCCCTTGGGGTCTGGATGATGTACCCTGTGTGGGAGGTGGAGATGAAGGCCAGAAACCATTTTGGTTTAGAAGGTTGGGGGACCTAGAAGCCCAGACCCCCGGCCCTCAGCCAGCAAGGGCTGCGTGTTGGGGCCCGGGGAGACTAGCTGTTGGCCACTTGCATCAGGCAGAAGAGGAGCACTGGCGGAATGCTGTTGTTGCCTCCCAACATCTGGCCGGCATCTTGTCTGCCTCTCAGACCCAAACAACTTACCTTAAATAGAATGATTTTCAGCGGAATCCGATAAAAAGTTTTTAGGCTGCTGTACACCCCCTCTCCTGCCTGGGAAGGCAAAGGGGCTGAGTTTCTATTCTGACCCCAAAAAATGACCTACCCAGGAAGCAACGGTTGTTCCGAGCACAGCTGCTGCGGGTGACAGTCCCTGGGGGTAATTTATGGGCAGACACCCAGTTCCAGTTCCGGGCTCAGCGGACGCAGTGGGGTGGCCCCGGGAGAGGGGCAGGGAGCAAGGTTAGTGACTCCACTGGTCACGCCTGCTCTTCAGGGAGAGAGTCACCCACCGGCGTCCCAGGAGAGGGGGCAGAAGTTTTGAATTGTCAGCAGTTGCTGCGCCAGCCGCTCTGAGCTCATCGCTGGAGGTGGGGGTGCAGGGGAGGGGGCGCAGGAGCCGGCTCGCCCCGGCGGAGCCCCTCGCTCCACCCTCCTGCTCGGGCCTGTGTTTAGTCAGCATTTGGCTTCCCGAGGCCGGTGACTGACAGGCAGCCAGACGCCCGCCCTGGGAGAAGACAAAATGGTGTCGGGAGCCGCCCTTGCTGGGGAATTGGAGGGGAGGAATGTGGTTCTGGGAAGCAGGCGGCCCCAGCTTAAATTCCAGCTCCTCCACTTGGGAGTCGTGACCCCATGCTTCACCTCGCAGGGCTAATCCTGAGAAGAATGAGCATTTGCTGAGCGCCTACTACCTGCCCAAGACTGCACACACTTTATCCCAACCTTAGGAGGCAAGGGTCTCATGGCATACATGAGAAAAACAAGTTCAGAGGTTGAGCTGCCTGAGATCGTGCAGCTGGCTAGGAGCGGAGGCACGCTTCAAACCTGGGTCTCTATCAAACCAGAGGTCACGCTCTGTCCACCATGCAACTGAAACAGCTTTCGGATTCTCCCCCAGTCGGGAGTCCTGGTCTTCAGCGGCATGCTAGGGTTTTCCGTTCTGGTCCGCCCCACCCTCTGGTGCCCAAGTTTACAGGTACCTGTTGATTTTGCTCCTGCTCCAAAGCCAAGTGAGCCGGACTGAGGGCTCAACTATCCTAGATGGTGAGAGTTGGAAGTACCTCGCGCCCTGAACTGCCGGGGAACACAGTGGGTCCCTAGGTGCGGGCTCGGGCTTCCCGCAGGCACACCGCGCTCAGGACACGCGCGCGCGCGCGCCCCCGTGAAGATTGCACGTTTAGGCACAAAGACATGCAGATACAAGGTGACACCTGCACACATGAGCGGGTACACTTTAGATCCCAGGCCCAGGGACATGTGCACACACCGCACCTAGAGCCCTGCCCTTGTGCAAACAAGGACACAGATCAGCACACAGTTACAGGAACACATAATCGCAGGCCAGCCTCGCGCGGGCCTCAGGAGCCCCCCCTCCCTTCGCGC